GGTCTATCACTAGACACCACAACAGAGGAGATAAAACTCCCCCCTGTGGGCAGCCTCTCGTTGGTTTTCCTCTGATGGAGATGTCTTGGGACTCCACCGTCAAGCATCTGTCCACTAGCATGTTTCCTATCCAGTCCACCAGTGGTTCTTGAACTCCATGTTTGATCAGTGCCTCCCCTACCACCTCGTGTGAAGTGCTATCGAAAGCGCCCTCGATGTCCAGGAAGATTCCGATCGCATAGCCCTTTGCCTCCAGCTGACTCTCAACCTTGCCTATCAGGTGATGTAGGGCGGTTTCGGTAGACCTGCCCTCCCTGTAGGCATACTGAGAGTCGGCTAGAGGTTGTTGTATTAGAGAGTTGGACTTGAGAAATCTGTCCACCAGTCTCTCTAAGGTCTTCAATACAAAGGACATAAGGCTAATTGGTCTATAGTCCTTTGCCTTGACGTGACCGTTCTTGCCAGGTTTAGGTATGAAAACCACCTTGGTTTCTCTCCACTTCTGGGGGACATGTCTAAGGGCAATACTTGCCCTGTAGATTTTTGTTATTGGGCCTAACAAGATGCTCAGCCCTTTCTGCAGCAGGATCGGGTATATTCCATCAGGTCCTGGAGCTTTTAAAGGCTCGAAGGAACCGACCGCCCATTCCACTGCTTGTGGATAGACCACCTTAGCTGCCAGTCCCCATGCCCTTGATTTGTGCACGGTCATGGGTCTCTGCCTGTTGTTGTTGTCTGCTGAGTCCTCCTTAAAGCCTGGGAAATGAATTTCCATAAGGTGCCGTAGGGTCTCCTCCGCAGTTTCTGTGTACCCTCCATTGGGACGCTTAAGGCAGCCCCATTGTGTTTGGTTTTCCTTGCAGAGTATTCTACTCAGTCTAGATGCTTCAGGAGCACTCTCTATACTTGAGCAAAAACTTCTCCATCCTTTCCTTTTAGCTTTTACTATGGCCTTTTTGTAAATTCTCTGAGATTTCCTGTACTCCTCCCAGGATCTCGGTGTATTTACATTTCTAGCCCTATTAAAGAGTCTTCTCCCCTCAGCCCTTAGCTTAGCTAGCTCTTTATTCCACCATGGTGCTTTGGCTGAAGGATTCTTTGACTCTAATGGGCAGTTCATCTCGTATGAGTATTTGATGGCATCATTCAAGTAGTCTGCCGCTGTTTCCAGATTTTCTTTGGTGTGGAATCTAGTGGGTGCTTCCTTGAGTCGACTCCTAAGGTCTTCCTCGTACCCCCTCCAATTTGTTTTCCTAGGATTTCTCTTCCATAACCCTTGGCTCTGTACTTGCTCCATGGTAAAACGGACCTGCCTGTGGTCTGATCCTGAGGGCTCATCAGAGACCCTCCATCCCCTCAACAGGTCCAGTATTCCGCCTGAGCATATGGTTATATCTATCACTTCCTGTCTTCTAGAGTCCAGGAAGGTAGGTTCTGTTCCTCTATTCAGGATGTGTAGCTCCATACCTACCACAAAGTTGAATAGGCTACCCCTGGGATTTATGTCGGTGCTCCCCCACACCAGGTGGTGCGAGTTGGCATCGCATCCCAGGAGTATTTCTAGCCCTTTCTGCCTTGCATAAGTCGTGAGTTTTATCATGTTTTCGTGTGGGGGCAGGTTTTCCAAATCGTAGGGCATGTACACTGACCCTATAATTAGATCCCTGGCTATTCCACCGGTCGTCTTTATTTTCAGTCTGATGGCAACAAAGTCACCATCGCTAAATTGTGGCAGTAGACAGGCGTCTATTCCTTTCGCTATAATGCACGCTCTCGGTCGGTCCGTGTTTCCGGCCCGGAATAGTTTTCCACAGCTGCCAAGTCCTCTTATGTGTCCCTTGATGATCCATGGTTCCTGTATTAAAAATATATATTTACTTGTGTGCATCACAGCTGCGCACCTGGCTAGTACAGCCGAGGCGCTTTTGCTGTGATGCAAGTTAATCTGCGTAAAGTAAATCCGGTCCGCCATATTTATGCTGACGGGTCCGGTGATTTCTCCTTTGCGCCTTCCTTACTGCTTTCTCCAGGAGGCAACCTAATCGTTGCCTGCCCAAGTCCACAGTAGGGTTTAAAATTGAGAGCTCTTAACGCCCTCAAAGCCCCATCCCCAACAAGGGCAGCGAAGTGGGTGCTCGTGGCGTCCCTGCTTTCGCTACCCTTCGCGATCACCCAGTCCGGTGACTGGATGCCTACGTTCTGCCTGTCAAGTAGCTCCAACGCTTCCTTGACAGGTATTGTGGGATCCTCAACATGCACTACGATTCGATGTCTCTTAGGGAGCTCATCGACTCGCAGTGCACGCAGTTCGATCCCATTGATCTTGATTTCTGAGGTTAGGCTTCTAAGCCACTCCTCAGTTTCCCTGTTCGTGCAGTTAAAAACAACTGCCCCGTCCCTATCCGAGGTGCCTCTGAAAGTAGGCGCTTTGGTACCCCTTGCTAAGCAAAGGATACGCTTCCTGACCGTTTCTTTCAGAAGCGATGCCTCGTCTTTTTCCAGTCTTTTGTCAGGGTAAGCCAAGGGAACCAGGGCAACCCTCACAAGACCGGAGGTCAATTGGGCAAAAGTCCTTTGATCAGTTATGACTTTCGGCCTTTTGCCCAACTGAGTGTTACTGGCAGGACTGGGTGTGCTATGCTCCGATCTGAGTCGCTTTACCGCCCCAGAAGAAGCTCGCTCCCCCGTCCTGGGAGTAACTGTCGAAACAGATGTCAGTTCCGAGGTGGGCTTTGCAGCTTCCCCCTTCGCCTCCATCTGCTTCTGTTTTTTATAGCGTCGCCTTGCCGCTCCGCTATAACGAACCCTAGCGATTGGTGGCTGGGCCTTATTTGGCTCCGCCCCCGAATTGCTCGGGCTTTCTCCTCCAGGTCGTTCGTCACCTAAGGTGGCCACGCCCTGTAGGACTTCCGAAAAGTTTTTATTTTGATTTTGGCTTGTACTCATATTTGATCCCACGAGTACCGCGGCCGCGCGGTATCACCTGGGCAGAGCCGCGAATGCCCAGGGCTTGGCTCGATACTCTCGAAGGTCGCCCGGTATCCGAGAGGCACCGTTTGTGACGTAACTCCCCTTACGCCATGCAGCCCTCAGTACGGTTGCACACACTTTAGCTTGGGGAGGTTCCGCTTTGTCCGACGCACACGGTTGCCATCTCCTGAGCGAGCGGCCCCCGCGCGCCCCCTCAAGCCCCTCCACCCGCCCCAGCAGCAGGACGAGCCAAGGGGGCCCAGGCTAGTCGGTCACACCCCTGAACGGGTGATATCCTTCCGCCCCGGACCCCCCCCACCCCATCAGCCGCGGGACTTCGTCAAGGTGGGAACCCATCGGGGGGGATAAAAGGCTATTAGTCGAACATGAAATTTTCGCTTCCGAGAAAGGTAATTATTTAATTATTGACATTCTCGATCTACCTTGTGATGAGGAAGAAGAAACTTCTGTTGACTTACTTGATCATGATTATTTATAAAATAATAAAGAAATTTATGATTAGTTTGACCATACTGGCTCTTATTAATAATTTGTCTTTATTAGATATGAAGTACACTACGTTTCGACCTTAAATTTAGGTTCTTTTCGAGTGCTTTTCAAGTGCTAACATTATAAAAAATCAATAGTTAGCGACGTAAAACTAAAATTAAATACAAGTCAATTCGTGCAAAAAGAGACAACAATGTACTTACTTAAAACAATTCTAATAAGCCACATTAAGATATAGAGATATAAATTATGATATGTTAAGCGCTGTGAACTTTAATATGTCGCTAAGACATTCTGTCAACTACTGATACAAGACGCTAAATTATTCTAATAACCTTATCATAAACAGAGTTGAGATTGTCTGTGTCAGTTTGAAGATTGATTGTGTTTGTTTGCTTTTTAATATATAACATTTCAGCAATCTCTCTCTTACGTCTATGTTTTTCAGTATGTAAAATACAAGGGTCAAGCCACCGAAAATCATGATTGCATTCTATTCTATGTTTGCTAACAACCGACAGATTTGATTCATGCTTTTTAATAATGTTCTGGTGTTCCTTTATGCGAGTATTTAGATGTCTCTTTGTTTGTCCTATGTAAGAAACATTGCAATCAATGCATTCCAATCTATAAACGACATTTGTTTTATTTAATTTAGGAGTGGTATCCTTACCTCTTTTGATAAGGCTACTTAGTTTTTTCTGTAATTTATATACTACTTGACAAACTTGATTTTGACGTAACTAGCAATTTTATTTAATTCTTTCACGACGTTTCGACCATTTGGTTGTGGTCCTTATCAAGTGAAAATTCTATAACATAATATTACACAATCGTTTTTACCAATGTTGAAATATACAAGAAACTATCTAAATGTTGAGTTAATAATATATATATAAATTTTATAAACATACCCATTATTAAACTGAGATTAACGCAACATCACACCGGTCTTATTTAAAATTAATAGTTGTTGAGAATGAGAGTAAAGAAAGTGAGAGAGAGAGAGAGTGTGTGTGCGTGTGTGCATGTATGCATGCAGTGTGGCAAATTGATATTTTTGCAATATCAAATTTGGCGCGTCAATTCGCGCTAATTGCCAAGCGCAAATCACGCTGCGCGCGTTTCGCAAAACGCCTTCGGCTGTCGCCAGCCCGTTTACGCGGGCTGGCCAAACAAAAACAGCAAAGTCAAAACAGTTTTGTCCTCCGACACTCGAGAAGATTCCACATCATTACATTGCAAAATTACAAGTTCGGTAATTTTGCATTAGAATCTTCTCGAAGGTCGGCAGGATAAAACTGTCTTCTTTTCTTTTCTTGTCGTTGTGCTGTGCTCCGTTGTCAGTACAATTTTTCACTCACTCTCCGGTTCGCACTCCGCATTGCCGCGAATTCGCACATTTTTTGGTCCTTCGAGCCGGATCTTTTCTCTGCGTCTTCGTCGCGTCCGGCATCTTCTGTGCTTCGCAGTCAAAGTGTGTGCGCGATCGGAGTGTCCTGTGACCTGTGACAGACAAAATGGGCATGGATAAATTGATGGACGCCCAGCACAAATTTCATGTGCGTATATTACGTAGTGTCGACAATCTACGAAAAATTGGGGCGGCCAAGCTAAACGTGGACACTATCCAAGCTGCGATCCGCCTCCTGGACGACAAATAGGCCAGATTTCAGGAGCTGCACGAGGAGCTCCGCAATAAGTACTGGAAAGAAATCAAGGACGATGAGTACTCCTTAGACGACCTCCCAAGCAAGGTCGAAACGGCGTATTACTCACAACACTCCAAACTCGCCGAGATGGAAGAGAGGCTTTCCAAGCCGTCGAAAGCTGACATCTCCAAGAGGGCTCGAGGAAGCGCGCCGTCCCGCAAAACCTTGCCACGCATCAATCTGCCTCAATTCAGCGGCAAGTTCGAGGATTGGCCAAGCTTCCGGGACCTGTTCTGCTCCATCATCCTCGGGGATCCATCCTTGACTAAGATCGAGCAGCTGCACTATCTCAGGACGAGTGTCAAGGGCGACGCGGAGCAGCTCATCCGGAACCTACCTTCCACGAAAGACAACCTGGAACAGGCATGGGACATGCTGACGACTTACTTTGAGAACAAGCGCCTCCTCGTGCGTTCCTACCTGACGGCCTTCACCTCGCTGCTGCGGATGAAGACTCCCTTGGCCGACGAAATCCGTCGGATCTTTCACGGTGTACTCACCACAGTCGGCGCGCTGAAGGGCATTGGACGTCCGATAAGCGACTGTACCGATTTCTTTGTGCACCTGGTCGTCGAGCTGTTGGACGCCAAAACTCGACGCGAGTGGGAGAGTTCGCTCGGCAAGTCTGCTGAGCCGCCGTCGTACGACATGCTCCGGGAGTTTCTGCAGGAACAGCTGATAACCTTGGAGGTCCTCCAGTCCACCAGGCCCGGACCATCAAGCAAGCCCTTGGAGAAGTCCAACCGCGCCGCTCGCACGAGCCACGTGGGGAGCAAGGGATCAGACCCGAGCCGCAGCCGTCCGCTCTGCAAAAAGGATCACTTCATCGCGTACTGTGAGCTGTACAAGAGAAGGACAGTGGCTGAAAAAAAGAAGGCAATCAATGCTCACCAACGGTGCTGGAACTGCCTGGGTCGGCATCTCCTTGCTGATTGCACGTCTTCCAAGGTGTGCATGAAGTGCTCTGGCAAGCACCATTCGTCTCTTCACGACGCCTTCACCGCTGTGGCTCTGCCTGCTGCCGGACCATCTTTCGCGGTGACGACCCACGTCGCCAGGCGACCGCCGGTGGAATGTCGATCAGCACTTCTGGCAATCGCGTGCGTGCTGGTGACTGATCGCGCGGGCACTCGCCACGACGTCCGCGTCCTGATTGACCCGGGTTCGGAGACATTACTGATCGCGGAATCTCTGGCACAACGCCTTCGCCTGCCGCGGACTTCTTCCTCATCGGCCATCTTCGGAGTAGATGGCATCCAGTCAGGCGTCTCTCGAGGGCAAACAGCGGTCACCATCTTCTCGCTCGACGGGCACTTCGCGCTCGCCGCATCGCCACTCGTGCTGCCGCGCCTAACCGTGTACGGTGGCATTCCTGAGGGAGAAGCTCGATCATGGCCGCACCTTAATGACCTCGACCTCGCTGACCCTGAATTCCACCGCCAGGATCCCGTGGAATTGCTGCTCGGTGCGGACGTCTACCTGGATCTTGCCATACCGGAGGGTCTTCGTAGAGGAGGACCACAGGAACCAGGAGCGCTGCTGACGCGCTTCGGATGGATGCTGTTGGGCGCCGTCGGGGCCTGCCACATCACAAACCCTGTGTCGTCGTTGCAATGCATCACAGTGAAGGACCTTGCCGAGCTGGTGCGTCGTTTTTGGGAAACGGAGGAGCCCCCCCGTGCCGTCCTTCCGCTGACCGCTGACGAGCAGGAGTGCGAGAACTACTTCTTGCGCACCCATCGACGACTAGCAGACGGCCGCTATCAGGTGCGGCTCCCGCTGCGATCGAGGCTGCCGGACCTAAGCTCCACCCGTCGCGCCGTGTCACGTCTCCTCGACGTCATGAGGCGTCGCTTTGATCGCGACGACAACTTCGGGGTACTGTATCGCGACTTCATGCGCGAGTACATCACCCTCGGGCACATGACGCTCGCTGCCTCCACTGTGGCTTCACCAGGTGACCGGATCAACTTCTTGCCGCATCATGGGGTGCTGCGGACTTCGACTGCCGGCTCCAAGATCCGCGTCGTCTTCAACGGATCAGCTCGCACGGGCGCCGGGGCGTCTCTCAACGGTGTGCTGCACGCTGGGCCTAACTTGCTGTTGTCTCTCGCTGATGTCCTGACTCGATGGCGGCGGCACCGGTACGTCTTCATCGCCGATGTCCAGATGGTGTACCGGCAAATCCAACTTCATCCGGACGATCGAGACTTGCAGCGGATCCTGTGGGCAGAGGACAACGAGGTGAGAGAGTACCGGCTGAATACTGTCATGTATGGCTTGGCGAGCGCACTATACCTCGCCATACGAGTGCTACGGCAGCTTGCGTCGGACGAAGCCAACCGCTTTCCGCTCGGTGTCGATGTACTGCAGCACGACGTGTATGTGGACGACATACTTACCGGAGCTGCTGACTTGGACGTTGCTCGCTGCCTCCTGGGACAGGTGACCTCGCTCTGCATGGCGGGCGGCTTTCCGTTGAAGAAGTGGGCCTCCAACGACAACCGCCTCCTGGAGATCATCCCGGTCGAGCATCAGCTAGGCACGACGACCGGCGCGAGGCTACCTGCAGACGAGCACTCGGTGCTGGGTCTCCGCTGGAATCGCGAGAAGGACACCTTCTCGCTGTCTGTCCAACTGACTCCATCGGCCCCACCTACCAAGCGGACCGTGCTGGCGCAGACCACTCGCCTGTTCGACCCGCTGAGCTGGCTAGCATCGATCCTCGTGCGTACAAAGTTGCTGATCCAGTCGGCGTGGCTGCAGCAGCTCGAGTGGGACGCACCGCTCTTACGCGAAGACACCGCCGCATGGACAGCCCTCGAGGAGGAATTGCCGTCACTGAAGGAGATCCGACTGCCACGTTGGCTACACAGCAACACTCCACACAGCTCCGTGGCGCTCCACGGCTTCTCGGATGCTTCCGAACGAGCTTACGCTGCTGTGGTCTACAGCAGAGTGGAGGATGGCGGACTGCCCCGCATCAACCTGGTGGTCGCCAAGAGAAGGGTGGCCCCGTTGAAACGTGTGTCGCTGCCGCGACTAGAACTCTGCGGAGCGGCTCTGCTGTCAAAACTAGCAGAGCATGTGCGGCTCTCCTTGGGTCTGGAAAGGTCGGCCGTCACTCTCTGGACGGATTCCACGGTGACGCTTGGCTGGATACGTGGACATCCTGCAAAGTGGAATACGTACGTAGCCAACCGCGTCGCTGAAAATCACCGCGACAACCAAGATGCAAGATGGCGGCACGTACCTGGCAAGGAGAATCCTGCAGACTGTGCCTCCCGAGGGGTGTCGCCGAAGAAGCTCCTGGAGCATCCTCTGTGGTGGCGAGGGCCGGAATATCTCCGCCATCACGCGGACTTCTGGCCGAAGGACGTCGGACCCTTGGGGACGGCCGACTTACCGGAGCAGCGACCGTTCCGATGCCATGTAGCCGCCGAGGAGCTAAGGAGCTCTGCCGCTTCTCCTGCCTTCGTCGCCTATATTCGCGTGTCCGCCTGGATCTGGCGCTGGAGGGCACGAGGACGTCACTCAGCAAACAGCAAAGCTGTGTCGACCTCCTTGGAACCTGAGGAGCTGGAGGCCGCTTTGTCAAGATGGATCCGGGTAGCTCAGAAGTCGAGCTACCACGCCGAGCTGCAGGACGTCCGTGCTGGAAGAACGCTGCCTGCCCGGAGCTCACTCCGCAAGCTGGTTCCCATGTTGGACGACGAGGGCACCCTGAGGGTCAGCGGGCGTCTGAAACACGCAATTTTGGATGCCGATCAACGTCATCCTGTCATCCTACCGCCGCAGTCTCATCTGACTCACCTGGTGATTGGCGCCGCCCACAAGCAAATACTTCACGGCGGAGTCCAGGCCACCTTGGCGCACATCAGGCAGCGCTTCTGGATTCCGCGAGAACGTCAACTGGTTCGCAGCCACATCCACAGCTGCCCCCCCATGCGTCCAATGGCGGGCGGCCACTTCACGGCCGAAGATGGGCGACCTGCCAAGAGCGCGCGTCACTCTGAGCCGCCCATTCCAGCACACCGGCGTGGACCTTGCCGGTCCCGTGTGGCTTCGAACGACGAGAGGCCGAGGACACAAGGCCTACAAGAACTTTTTGATGGTGTTCGTTTGTTTCAGCTCCCGCGCCGTACATCTTGAAGCCGTCAGCGACTACACCGCCGAGGCCTTCCTAGTGGTCTTTCGTCGGTTCGTGTCCCGACGAGGGTTGTGCACAGTCGTGTACAGCGACTGCGGCACTAACTTTGTGGGCGCTGACCGACAGCTCAAGGACCTCTTCAAAGCTGCTGGCCGTGAGATTCAGACGATTGTTGGGCACCTGGCAGACCGAGGAATACGGTGGAGCTTCAATCCACCGGCAGCTCCACACTTTGGCGGCCTGTGGGAAGCGGCGGCCAAGGCTGTCAAACACCACCTGAAACGCACCATCGGCGAGACCAGACTGACCTTTGAAGAACTGTCGACGTTCCTTACAGAGGTTGAGGCCTGTTTCAATTCAAGGCCGCTCGAGGTTTTAACGGACGACCCTGACGACCTCAGTGCCCTGACGCCTGGGCATTTCCTGGTGGGAAGCCCTCTTCTCGTCATCCCAGAGCCGTCACTCCTGGATGCGTCAGCCAACCGGCTGAATCGGTGGCGGCTCCTGCAGCAGATGCGGGATCACCTGTGGCAGCGGTAGACCCGCGAGTATTTGCAGCATCTCAGCCCGCGGCCTAAATGGTGGACCACTCGTGGAGCCATTCTCGAGGGCCAGTTGTGTCTAGTCAAGGGCGAGAATACCCCGCCGTGCCGGTGGCCGCTTGCTCGGGTCACGCGCGTGCACCCCGGCAAGGACGGGCAGATACGCGTGGTGGACGTCCGCACGTCCGTTGGCGAGTTGACCCGGCCAGTGGTTAAAATCGTACCACTGCCGACGGCGGCCGCCACGGACCCGGGCCACCGGCGTAAACTTCGTGCCGCGAGTTCCGTCCCGCGTGTAAATATACTGTAAAAAAAAATAAAAAAAAAAAAACGTGTAATTATTCTTGTTCGTCGTTCAAAAACTGTAAATAATGAGTCGTATACTCACTCTCGTTTCGCGCATCGTATTCTCCGCTGCACCTCAATGCTCTCTTTGAGATAGCACCGCGAATCACTAAAATCGTTCGTCGCTCGTCGCGACGAGGCGGGCGGAATGTTAAGATTGAGAGTAAAGAAAATGAGAGAGGGAGAGAGAGAAAGATAGAGAGAGTGCTTGTGTGCATGTATGCATGCAGTGTGGCAAATTGATATTTTTGCAATATCAAATTCGGCGTGTCAATTCGCGCTAATCGCCAAGCGCAAATCACGCTGCGCGCGTTTCGCAAAACGCCTTCGGCTGTCGCCAGCCCGTTTACGCGGGCTGGCCAAACAAAAACAGCAGAGTCAAAACAGTTTTGTCCTCCGACACTCGAGAAGATTCCACATCATTACATTGCAAAATTACAAGTTCGGTAATTTTGCATTAGAATCTTCTCGAAGGTCGGCAGGATAAAACTGTTTTCCCGCACGTCCTTTTCGCACTCGTCTTGTCGCCGCTCGCACGCATAGACCGAGAGTTTTTGTTTCGCTTTTTTCACAAAAGTTCTGTAGTATCGCACTTCTCGCGCATACGTAATTCGCTTGTCGATTGCACTTTTTGCAATCCTTGCAGTTTATCGCGCCACTAGTGCGCGATTCGTACTTTCTTGTAAATATTGTAAAATACAGTACCGTCTTATTAACTTTGTCTTCTTTTCTTTTCTTGTCGTTGTGCTGTGCTCCGTTGTCAGTACAATTTTTCACTCACTCTCCGGTTCGCACTCCGCGTTGCCGCGAATTCGCACAATAGTTAAAAGTTAAAAGAGGAACACGTCTCATTGCTATGATGTTTCGTCAACGACTAACTTTGAAACGCGACACTAAACAATCTTTATTATTTTGTCGTAAACATTTGTCAAATTCTCAGTGTCTTTCTGTAGGTTAACCGTATTATCATGCTTCTTTATGAAGAACATTTCAGTAATCTCTCTCTTTTTTACATGTTTCTCATTATGTAAAATAATCGGTGATTTCCAATCAAAGTTATGTCCAAAATCACATCTGTGTTTACTCAAAACCGAATGATTAGACTCATGTAATTTAATATTGCTGGCATGTTCCTTCACTCTAGTGCATAAATGTCTCTTAGTTTGTCCAATGTATGAGGCATTACAATTTTCACAATTGATCTTGTATACTACATTCGTTTTTATATCATTAGTTATTAAATCTTTACCTCGTTTTATCAATCTATTCAACTTTTTTGGCAAACCATAAACGACATTTAAGTTAGCATTTTTAAGTGACCTTTTAATTCTGTCGCTGACGTCTTTAACGTATGGAAGTGGAATTACATAATTCTTATCTTGAGCCGAATTCACATTACCGTTATTATCCAAATCATTACTCAAATTGTCGTTATTATCCGCATTGTGACGGTTAACATTCCTATTGTTATTTAGTACATTAAGTCTTTTATATTTCAATTTTTATATTTATTTATATTTCAATAATTATACTGAAGAAGACCGCGTGCGGTCGAAACGTTTATAGAATGATTGTAATTTGCGTTAGTTTTAATATAATGACTGTAGTTTTATAATTTATACATGTAATAAATGGTAGTTGACTGAACATCTCGAATATTCAGCTCGATAAGTTGGCCTTATATTTATCACTTTGTTTTCAATATACGAGCGACAATTATATTAATTTATTTTTAATATACGCTGGCCTTACAATGCGTCAATTTAACACAAAACGGACTGATTACTATTTTAATTTTAATTTTATTCATAGAGTTTTTGGAAGAATAACCGCAGATTATTTTAAACAATGGATTAATGCGAATTACTTGTTAATAAGAGCGAGAGCAAAATTGGAATTTTTAAGAAATTGTAAAAATGGCGATATTTTTCCTACACATTTAGAAGGTTTTTGCCGCATTAAATTTAACGTTTTTCATCACAGATCGATCAGAAGACTAGATAGTATGTTGTACAAATTCAAAACAAATGCGATGAGCATTGAAATCTTTGATTTGCATAGACAGGTAGAGTCATTACAAAATAGGATTTTTCATCTCACCAGCGGGTTATTTAATCGTTTACCTGTACTCGCGTGGAATAAAATTTTCGAACATCATAACATTGCTTTTAAAAATTGCCACAACAGATTGGTTACTGCACACGAAAAGAAATTCAATTGGCTTAAGAGAAAACAACACTATAAGTATATCAACAGCATCAAACCTATAGATATACATTGTTCTTTACATTTTGAAACTTCACAACCGACGAAAATATCACAAAATTCTCTCAGGGCAATCACTAATGATGCCAAGGAGATTAATATACACATAGAAGCCAATAAATTTCTCAATGATACAATTAACCCTTTGGAAAATACTAATAAAAAATGGTTTGTTAATCTTTCCAACACAGACATTCCGCCTAACGTTTCTAATCTGTTGCAAAAGGGTGATAAATTCTGTCTTCCGAATATTAGTAAAAAAACAGCGATACATGAATTCATCAAGGACATAGAGAGTAATAGCAAACGAAATAATATTAATAATCTCACAACGATCAGAAATATCGCGGTTCCAAAATTTGCACAACTTCTGAACACGAAGGATAAAAATGACGTAAGTCAACAAAAATTACTTGGTGCACACAGAGATTTAATAAAATTTTGTAAAGACAATCCGAATGTTCTATTCACACGCGCGGACAAGGGTAATGCTACGGTGGCAATGGAAAGATCTCATTATATTAACAAAATGGAAAACGTTTTAAAAGATGTCAACACTTACACTATTGTTAAAAAAAATCCGTGCAAAAAAATAGAGAACGATTTGAATGATTTGTTGAAGAGATGGCTTAAGGAAGATTATATTTCAAAAAACGAATATTATAAATTACGTTGTAGTGATTCTCTCCTTCCAAAAGCGTATGGATTACCTAAAATCCATAAGGAAAACTATCCAGTTAGAATCATAGTTTCATCGGTTGATACAGCTCTATACTCGCTGGCTTCGTTTTTACAAAACACCTTACGAACTAGCCTACCCAAAGCGAAAAGTCATATTAATAATAGTTTTGATTTGTACAGCATATTGTCTGGTAAAAAGATTGATGAGAATGATAGGATGTTTTCCTTGGATGTGGTGTCTTTGTTTACGAACGTTCCTCTGGATCTTGCGATTGACGGTATTAACGATAGATGGGATCACATTGAATAAATACTAAAATACCGAAAAACGAATTTTTGGGGGGTATAAAATTCATATTGACTTCTACATATTTTACATTTGATGACATAATTTATAAACAGACGTTTGGGACCCCTATGGGGTCACCGTTATCACCAATTATTGCAGACCTGGTTATGCAAGATCTTGAGGATACAGTTCTCAAAGCGTTGAATTTGGAATGTTTGTTTTATTTTCGTTATGTGGATGACATAATAGTGGCCACCTCTATGACTAATATGACTCAGATTGTGAATAATTTTAACAACTATCATGAAAGACTTAAATTCACGGTCGAACAAGAGGTTAACCATAGCTTGAATTTCTTAGATTTATCACTTAAAATTATTAATAACAAAATATATATAGACTGGTATCAAAAAGAAACCTTCTCAGGAAGGACGTTATCATTTTATTCAAACCACCCATTATGCCACAAAATTGGAATAATATATAACCTTGTAGACAGATGTCTATTGCTATCACATCCACTATTTTTTAATAAAAATTTGGAGTTAATTATTAATATACTCAGAAGCAATGGTTACCCTCTTGATCTGATTTTTAACAAAATTAATCATCGGATAGAACACATCATATCTAAGGGGAGCATTATAGAGAGACAGGCCAACATAGAAAGAACAAAAAGTATAGGAAATGACTCGGTCAATAAAAAATTCTTTGTCATTCCGTATATAGATGGGATCTCAGAAATGATTGTTTCCTCGGTAAAAAATAAAAATTGTATGGTAGGGTATAGATGTCTCAACAAACTGGATAATATTATTAAAGCGCAGAAAGATAAAACTAAACATCCATGCAATTCGAATGTGGTTTATAAGATCAGTTGCAATAATTGTAATGCATCTTATGTAGGCCAAACAAAGAGGCAATTGCAGACGCGAATGAAAGAACATAAAAATAATATTAGATTGGACTCAACGAAACATTCAGTAATTTCTGAACACATAATAAATGAACATCATACTTTTAATTGGGACAATGTTAAGATCATGGACAACGAAAATAATTATTATAAAAGACTCATTTCTGAGATGCTACATATCAAGGAACAAAAAAATGGACTAAATTTAAACAAAGATACTGAGTTACTTAGCGAGTCGTATTTTGATATTTTGGATATATTAGCGAACAAGAAATAATAATAGGACAAATAGGACATTAACGAGTAAAACATAGATATTAGATCATATATAAACACGCACGCTCTCCGATCAAGTAGAGTTTAAAATGAGCTGTCTTTCTGTATTGTTGGTTTGTTATGTGTCATCCTTAATAACTGTTAATAAGTAGCAAAATTGTCAAGAAAAACGATGATAGGTAAGCATACTACCAATTGTAGGGGATACATATTATAATTTGGACAT